GCAGCAGCCTTAAATAAACACAGACTGCTCCCTCTTTTCCCCGGAGGCTGGTGGGATTGAAGGCTGACGTCTGACCGATGTTCTGTGCTTTCTAAAAGCGTCTCACTAATTCAGATGTCCGGCTAATTCCTCTGTAGGAGCTCAGTGTCGCGCCTCCCCAGGGAAACTTAAATCAGCGTTTCTGTGACAGGACTTCTGAGTGGCAGCAACGCCCCCAATCAGCACCTAATAATAACCACAGTCGGCAGAGGTCGGCTCCTCCTCCGGCTCTGAAGGAGCCCCGCTGGAGGAGTTTCCTCAGCTAATATAAACATGAGATCTGAGATGAGGAGTCATTGACATGTAAAGTGAATCTTTCTCTCTTTTGCAAACACTTAAATAGTTGATTTTGTGCCATAAACAAGTATGAAAACCTTTAAATCATTAGCAGGACTGGACAACATTTATGAAACAAAATAGTACAGAAGCAGTACATTGTTGCGCAATGCTAAGACCGGATGACCAACTGGGCCAAAGTGGCTTCAAAATTTTGCACCACTGAAGTGCAATAGCATCTCTGTCAGGTTTTATTTAAGCTTCTCTTATGTTTTGTGTGTGAAACTGTTCATTTTGTAGTGACTCGTAGGTGAAGCTGCCAGAGAGATGAAATAAGTGTTGAGGGGAAATAGTCAAACCGGCTATAATCCAGCAACGTTTTTAAAACTATTTTACAACTTTTAAGCAAAACTTATGCATTTAATAGCATCCTCATTACATAGCTAGAAGACAGCAATGATGTGTCACCGTGTGTTTAATCATCTAGAGTCAATAAAGTAGCATGTAGAGATAATGTTAGATTTAAAAGTGATTGAACTGCATTAACCCAATACTACTGCATATGGATTACCGGTTACATTTATTGATGGGTTTGTGATTGACATATTTAAAAACAAACTTTTTTCACATTTACTGACAGGTTACTGATGGGCTTTTTCATGTTTTGATGTAAAGTAATATTTTGTGTCGGGATTTCAAGATCAGTTGCATCAGGAAGTTTGTTTTGTGAGACAACTTAAACAACATTAAACAGTTTACGAATAAATCCTATAACTGAGTTAGAAGCTCCCAACCTTGATCAGAAGCCAGGTCACTTTAACCTGACTTCAGATCAATTGTGACATTCCCATTAAGCTCAGATGTAGGCTGCTTTCTGTTTGTTGCTAATTAACAAATGTTAGCACACTGACATGCTAAGCAGTGGTGGTAGATGTATACATCGGCATGTTCATTAATTGTAGGTGTGTGAAGGATGGTCTTTAGCTGATGTCAGGTTTTAATTTCTTTTGTTTTCTGTTGTCATGAAAGCTATTTAAACATTGTCTTGCCATTGCCATTAAACATCAACATATTAGCATTGTCATTGCTAAGTTGTTAAATGCTCATATTGGCAATTAGCTCAAAACATTAGTTGTGTACGAGATCAGGTACTGCATCCTCAGAAGAATCAGTGTGACATAAATTTCGTCATCTTCACGAGAATCTGCACAGACATCCACAGACCAAAGCTTGCGTCCATGCAGCAAATATGCAACCAGAGCAACAGTGTGTATATGCAGAATATGTAGGTGGGATTTACTGTGTGGACTCCTCATTAACAACTACGCGTAAGTTGGCCTCCATAGTTATCCGATTTCTGAGAACACTAGTGAAAGGGGTCCATAAATGCACGTCAGCAGCCAGTGATCAAACTTTTACATGTAAGTAAATATCAGCATTTCCTCTGCTGTATGAGGATACTTCAAAAAGTTCTCAGTCTCGCACAGAAACAAGAGGCGTTACCTCCATTTTAGTTTATAACTGTACACTTTAAAGTCTTATATGACTTCATACAAAAAATGTAAATGTTTAAAGCAATCAAAGGAAACAGGAGAGGAAAGCTTCGAGTTGGCTGCTGTTGTTTTATCCGTCCACACAGTATCAGGTAGTAGGAGCAGCCAAATGTGGCTTTGGACTGTTACGTTGAACATTGGTCCTTTTTCAGGGTTGATGCTGTGGCCATGACTGCACATGCTGACATCCCAAAAATTCAATTGTAGATGCTGTAGATGTTTTACAAAATGAAACCTCTAAAGATTAAGTAATTGTAAAAGACTAAAACTGGCCTTGTTTGCAGTCAGAGGTGTTTCATCATGACGATCTGTGGGATGAAATCCTTTTTGGGCCTTGTTGGATGTTTTTGCTGCAGTACTGCCAGTGACCACTGGGAGATATGGACTGAAACTGATTGAATCCAATGAATGAATCCATCTCTCTAAATGCAGCCAATGCTTTACAAGTTTAGCCTCTGGACTGGTGTAAAACTGCTTATGTTCACCAATTTTAATTTTTTCACATTTAAAGGAAAAAATGATGGGCTGTGACTACAATGATGATTTTTGTTTTCGATCAAAGACTATATTTGTTTTTGCCAGAAAATAGTGATGCCCTTCATAATTTACAGACCAAGTTACATTTAAATTAGAAATCAACAGCTACTCAGTTTACTGAGTGATATAAAGCATTACAGCATAATATCTGAGGTGTTTGGAAACAAATATACATTATTTTTGCTTTTAAAAAATTACTGAATGATTTAAAAGGTTGCCAGTTGATCAAATATCAAATCTATTTTGCTTTATAAACTCACTTTATGATTAAAAAATAAGGGTTTAATGATTGAATTTTGAGGTCCTGAACATGATAAAGCTTCATTTTAGTTTGTCATAAGCCAAGAAAATAAGCAATGTAGTCTGAAACACTCAGCAATAAGTTAATACTTTATATTTAACCGTCATCTAACGTCATCACATGACTTTATAATGATGCACGAAAACAGCTCTTTTTAAAATCTTTTTGGACATTTTTTGTTTTTGTTGTTGTGGTCCTTTAATCAGGTGGACTATTTTTATTTAAATTTTCTGTCCATTCCTTGAAGATGTAAATTAATTGTGTAGTGTCCTAGCAGGCACAGTGTGTATTAGACATTAGTTTAATATTAATTGTTCAGGCCATAAAACATGGTGAGAGTCATTCTGCATCCTGAGCTTTGCGTTGCATCAGAACGGAAAAAGAAAGATCTGTCGGTGCAGCCTGCAGTATAAACTTTTATTCCGGTTTGTGTTTTACTCTTTATCAAGGAACAACATGAATAAATTTATTATGCGTTCAGCCGCAGCCTCCCACTCCCACAAATCTACTCGGCCGGCACAAACTGCAAAGCCACTCTAGTCACCTTGAAATTTCCTCTGCTATTTTCCAATTAAAAGCTTAATAGCCCTGGAGACGGGCTTCATGTGGGGAAGTTTACCGTGCTCTTATTCTCTGTAAGCCGCGCTGCTCGGATCCCATTATTTGCTTGAATAAACCTTTTTTACGGTCAGAAATGGGCCCCGGCTTTGTCCGGTGTTATGTTTCAATGCCCTCTATTAGTCCAGCAGAAGGGACATATCAGCATCCTCGACATAGTTCCCAAAGGGCTTTTATACATGTAGAGACCTAATCATCTAAGTTATGTACGATTGTGTAAAAGGTGCGAGAAGGCCGTGTGTGTGTGTTTTGTCTAAATGAAGTCTTCTAGCCTGTGAGCCTGCAGGCAGCAGAGGAGGATATGCAGATGATCGCCCCGCTTTTAAAAATCTAAATTGAATTATAGATGATTCTTTGGAGTTATTTCCTCAAAAGGAACCTTTTATTTGTAAAGTAAAAGGAATCAGAGAGTTCTGACAGACGAGATGACAAATGTTTGATCATCAACATCAGCTGAGTTAAAGGTTCACACACGCTTTTTAAAAAAAAAAGAATTTATGATGCGATTTTCAATTTAAATGTTTTTCCCCCATATTGCAGTATAATTAATCTGATTCCAATAGATAACAAAAACTTGTGCATTTAATCTTTTAATGTTTTATAAATGTTTAATCAATTGTTTGTTTCATGACAGTGTTGACAGCTTAGATGTCAAATGTGATATTTAGTTACACCTCCTATAGTGTGTTTATTGTGTCTTTTTTCAGTTTCAATTCCACATTTAAACACCTATCTACAGCTAGAGAAGGCCCTAACTCCTGCAGTGTGTCTTTTAAACATTTTTTTTTATTCCTACTTGTGTTTAAACTGCCACATCTTTCAGGCAGCAGCTCCTGCAAACCTGCTCAGATTTTTCATGACAAGGAAAAGGTAGTAATTCCTGCAGTGGTGACACACAGGCACCTTTTTTTTTTTTTTTCTTTAAGGAATTTATGATTTTATTTGTTAAGATTTTCTAGTTGGAGTCTTATGCATGAACCTCTTGCAACAAATCTACAAACAGAGAATGCACTGATTTGGAACAAGGTGTCTCTAAACCATCAGATTGTATTGATGGTTGTTTGATGAAGGCCTCTCCTGCAGTTTGGCCTTTTTTTCCTGTAAATAATGTTGCAGCTCTCCTCTAATACAGCTACATGTGCTTCACGTTTTAAGAAGCTCGACGTTTCACTTCTGGTGCAGGATCAAGTGCAGAAATCCCCAAAACCACTGAGAACACACGGAGAGCGCATTTGTTTCCGCTGCAAATGTGTCCAGTCCTCCTCGGGTTTGTTCAGATAACTCTAAACGCGTGAATCTTGCAGGGAAACGTGGGTTTTATCTGATGCTCAGTGGCAGGCAGCTTTTTTTCTGCCCACTTCAGCCTCACATGGACTTTTTTTTTTTCTTCCGTGCAGCGTGCAGCCGCTTTGACGCGAGTGACAGCGTTTGGTTACTCGTCTCCATAAGTGCGTGTCAGCCTGATGCATATCTGTGCTGTCAGCCGGGGGAAAGGTGGATCCTCCACGACAAGCCAACACCTCTTATCCTCATCCTGTCATGCGTGTAGCAAAGCAGCTCCATCAAGCTCCATCTCTCTGACTGCTGCTGCTGCTGCTGCTGCTGACAACAACACTCCCGCCCCGCCTCGACTCTCCGCAGATGAACTTGTGCGTCGTGGAAAGCGCGCTGACAGAATGAATGGTTACGGGTCCCCCTACCTTTACATGGGGGCTCCGGTCTCCCAGCCCCGGGCCCCGCTCCAGAGGACCCCCAAGTGCGCACGGTGCCGGAACCACGGCGTGCTGTCGTGGCTCAAAGGTCACAAGCGCTACTGTCGCTTCAAGGACTGCACCTGCGAGAAGTGCATCCTCATCATCGAGCGGCAGCGCGTCATGGCGGCGCAGGTGGCGCTCCGCAGGCAGCAGGCCAACGAGAGCCTGGAGAGCCTCATCCCGGAGTCGCTCAGAGTGCTGCCCGGCATCGGCATACCCGGGGCCGGCGAGGGGAACCAGGCGGCCCCGGCGAGGACAGAGGAGCTGGAGCTGAGGTGGAGCAGCGCCGAGCCGGTGCAGGCCGGAGGGCAGACGTGCTCAGGTAGGAGCTGGAGAGCTGCTGCTGGACCGTCTCAGGTCTTATTTTTATTATAAAAAGTCAAAACAGGCCATGTTCTGTGAAAAATAGGCTTTTAAAATGCTATCATGGAGGCTACACAATGATAAAATATCATATCTGTTCTATTTGTTTTAAGGTTTAACACAAACTTTGAGGGGGAAATTATGTCAAAAATGTATTAATCAGAATATAAAACTGTTCCTGCATTCCTAAATAAGTTTAAAGATTGGTTCATGAGATTAAGGATTCTGTTATTTCTGTACATTTTTGGTTGCATTTAATTCAAAATAACCCAAACACTTATTTTTTTCCTCTTAATTTTGCATTACTTGGCATACAGTGAAAACAGTTATCCAGACCACTTTTATTTATTTTAAAAATCACATCAGAGATTAGACTTTATTGCTCTCCAGTTGAGGAAAATCACGTTTGAGCAGCACAGGAGGCAGAAACAGTCAAATCAAATGGAGTTTATGAGCTGTTAATCTTAATTTTTTTTTAAATAAATCTATTTAAACTGAAGTATCCTGTGTTATGAATTAAATTAATTTATTTGTGACAATTTTACAAAATATGTTTGAAGAAGGATTTTTATTTTTTTTTTCTCTGGGATGGTCTCTTAAAAGATTCTTATTGCTTTTAAGGATTTATATTTCTAGCAATAATAGTAACAGACTGGTTTATTTCATATGTATTCCAATAGTTTGTTTGTAATTAGTGTTTTTGGACCAATACGTGTCATTTTCATAGTTTTATAAAGGTAGTAATTTTTTCTCCCCACAAGGCCACAAAAATAGTGAATTCAGTCACCTAATTATAACATTTCTGACACATGATGGGATTATTTAAAGGAAGAAACAACTTTAAATCTCATCAACTTCTGCACTTTTTTGTCTTTTCCATGTTGAGCAAATAAATAATTCTCAATGTTTTTATGAAAAGTTAGATGCTCAGTGTTCCTCTCAGGGCTGCATCAGGTCATCATTCAGGATGATGCCCAGTAACTCACTAATTGTTCAGTTTTTGCTTGTTCTTCTGTTCGTCTGGCTCCACTTTGCTGGTGGGAACATTGATTTGGACACAAGCTGCCTCCACAGCAGCTTTCTTTGCAGCCTGACAAACCGAGCCGAGCGCTTTAAAAGATTACAGTAATCAGCGGCAGACAGGCCCAATCGAATATAATCGCCATATTTCTCGCAGGAGGTCAACTTCAGATGAAATGTTACTGAGCAACAGGCGATCTGTTTACAAAATGTGGTCAAAAGGCATCGACGGCAGATTCCTCAATGACACACAGTCAGCACTTTGTGTTAACAGCTTTGGGGAGCAGAAAATAAAATAAATCCTCATACATGGCTGTGTTGCAGACAAGCTGACAAGCAATTAATTGTATGTTACCTTTGCTCAGAGGGCTGCCTGTGGTTTTAGTGGGAGAGGGGTTCGCATTGAGGAGTGCAGTGAGGTCAGATCTGTGTCTCAGATTAATTTAATAAGCCACAATAAAAGTACAGGGTTCAAGTAGAGCCACTGCAGGAGGATGGAGCACAAGAGTGGCTTCAGTTTGACTTTTTAGTTCTTTTCCAGCTCTGTTTGTTGCAGGTTTATGTGTATTTCCTGCAGATTTAGAACACAGTCTGTGTAATTTGTGACATTTTTAAATTAGCACCAGATCCATGTTGTGTCTGTTTACAAAAAACATGTTTGGCACAGTTTGGGTCCGTTACTGGGTCAGAACATTTCATTTCACTCAGTTTTGACCTGTTACTTTAACTGTGCCCAACAAATATGTGCATGCTTTTCGTGCAACTGGATTTCGTTTTTGCATCTTCCTTGAGTTCTGTGTCCCTGGTTTGCAGCACCGACAGAGGAAGGTCCAGACGAGGTTTCAGGAGGAGAGAACGGAGGCAGCTCCAGTGAGAAGGAGCAGGACCCGGTCAGCTCCCCTGAGGGCTCCAAACCAAACTCCTGCTACACCCCGGAGCCTCCAGAAACCCCCTCCCACCCGGAGGACAGCCGCTACAGCCTCCCAAAGGCCGGCAGCGCCGAGAAGGAAGCCAAAGCCGAGAGTCCCCAGAAGTACCCGGTCAGCCCCGGGGAGCAGAGCGTCCTGATCGAGGGCCTGGCCGGCTCCATCAACCTGCCCTTCAGCCTGCGAGCCAACCGGCCGCCGCTGGAGGTCCTCAAGAAGATCTTCCCCGCCCACAAGCCTCCCGTGCTGGAGCTCATCCTCCGGGGCTGTGGGGGGGACCTGGTGGGGGCCATCGAGGTGCTGCTGTCCAGCCGGAACCCTGACGGGAGCGCGCACTCACACGCCGACCCGCACCCGGACGCGCTGGTGCTGCCTTCAAACGGACACCTGTTCGAGCACACGCTGGGCTCGTACCACCCGGTGTCCTCCTCGGCCAAGTGGTCGGTGGGTTCTGCTTTCCGGGTCCCCGACTCGCTCCGGTTCACGTCGGAGTCCGCCTCGGGCGTGGTGTCCACCGGGGCGCTGGGTGTCCCCCTGCAGCACCCGTCCTTCCCGCAGCCCACGCGTTACCCGCTCATGCTGCGCAACTCCCTGACGCGCAGCCAGGCCAGCCCGTTCGTGCACAACGACGTGACTCTGTGGAATACCATGGCCCTGCAGCAGCAGTACCAGCTCCGCTCGGCGGCTCAGTACGTGTCCCCGTTCTCCCCCGCGGCCCCCGCAGGGCCCGGGGGCTCCGTGTTCCGCAGCTCGCCCATCCTCCCCTCCAGAGCGTCCGAGGAGCAGCGCATCACCATCCAGGAGGAGAGCTGCTCGCTGGGGCCCAAACCCGGCCTCTACTCCCCGGACGAGGAGTACGAAGAGCGCTCCGACTCGGCAGACTCCCGCATCCTGAACTCCTCCACCTGAACCAGTCGCTGGTTGGACTTTTACAGCCGGGGAGAACCAAAAACGTATTACTGTGGACGGACATCAGTGTGCGTGTCTTTGTGTGTGTGTGTCTTGTTTGAACTGTGTCAAGCAATCAGCCTTTGATGAGGTGATGTTAATCATCGCCCTCACGCTTCCAGATGTCACTGGACTTGACCAAAACGGATGAATGTAACAGAGTCGTTGTTTTGAACGTCCTCCAGCTGTTTCCTGTAAGCATGTTTAGTACTGTGAAAAGCTCTGTAAGGATCACCGCTGCATGTCGAGTATGCCAAATAAATCTGAGTTGTCCAAATGGATCAGCTTGTTTTCTTGCGTGCTTTTGACTAAAATATTGGTCCAGGTGTTGTTCTTGTGCTTTACAAATGGATGGGATTTATCTACTAGAGTTAAGTTGTGCATTTATATTAAAATAATATAACATAAACGTGTGTTTGTCTTGTAGTACAGAAGAGCTTCACTGCTCATTCGTCTTTAAAATGCATTATTTCAAAGTGAGCAGCAGAAGATCCATCTGTCTGGCCTTGTTGATGGGTATAAGTCAGATCAGACAATTTATCCACACGCTCCACAATCTAACTTTATATTCAGTTAAAAAAAATGCAACTACATTTCACATCAAAATAACTACAAGAATTATAAATATACACAAACTATGAGAACAATCACATACAGCATTAATTGAAAACTGACAGTAACCCTTTACGTGCCCCTCTATTAAAAAGCAAGTATTTAATAAATGGGTTATAACACACTCTAAAGCCATATAGAGATTTAGTGAACATGATACCGTATTGTCAATTATAACGTCATCTGTTCTGTTATTTTAATATAATGTCATTGATTTGTGTTTATAGCAGGTTCTTACAGGAGGAATAAACAGGACTCAGAGCTGTGGTATATTGTGTTACAACCCATTTATTAAATGTTTATATATTTCTTAATGATGTTAAACAAGGGGACTGAGAGTAAAGTGTAAAAAATGATCAGATTAAAAAAGAATTGTTTGTAGCAGCTACAGAGGGATGTGCAGCCACTGGTCCACCACAGAAAACACTATTTGAAATGTAAAGCTGTGTAAGATGCATTGCTAAGAAGCATCTTAAACTGATTGAGAGCAATACCACCGACCAGCTGAGTGAGAGGATCAGACGCTCATACAATCCTTCACTCTTTATATAAACGTGCTGCAGCCGACAACAGTTTTTACTGGAGAAGCCTTAAACAGCCTCGACGTTTATCACCAGCTTCAAATGTTCAATATTTCTTTAGCTCAGTTCCTTTGAACCTCAAAAGCAGCACCTTTTTCTTACATGGCAGCAAGAATAATAACTTACATTTTGCTGCAATTGTTAGCAGCTTCTATCATTGATTTTAAGTTGATCAATGCTGCTGCTAGAAATCTCTGTTGCAGTTTTTTACAATCTTTTCAGTTCTCTCATTAACGCTTGATTAAATTTTCCTCTTTTAAACACAAGAACCTCACCAACAGAGAGAAAACAACTCATAGATTTCTAAAGAAAGCTACAAAAACAGATGAAATAGATCAGTGTTCTGTGTTTTTTTTCTTCACTTATAAACGCAAATTTGTCCAGACTTTTATCACTGAAACACAGAATAGAACTGGTGCTGAAGTCAGCCACTCATTTCTTTTTACATCTTTGAGTGAGACTTTGTGGAATCTGAAACCTCAGACCAATTGATTTGTGTCTTTCTTTTAGAGTCTAATAAATGTTTTGAAAGAAGAGCTAATGTTATGTTCACAGTTATTTCATTCTCTGTTGTATAATCTTGTGTTGACAGTTTCAGTCCCTCTTGTTCACCTGCTGGGTTTAAAGCTTTCCTCTGCTGCCATCTAGTGATGCTGCTGACCATCAACACCCAAATCCAACCCCGAAACCCCGAAGTCCAACAGATCCAAGACACAAATGTTCAAATTAGGCACGGCAGGATCAAGTCATCATTCCATCCATCCATCCATCCATCCATCCATCCATCCATCCATCCATCCATCCATCCATCCATCCATCCATTGTCTATACACCAATTATACAATTATAGTTTTTCCAAACAGCAAACTGAACCAGGACTAATTATTTGAGAGACAAAACCACTCAGACAGTTTGAGTCAGTGTTCTTATTTATAGTACGATCTATAATCCTACTATTTCATTTAGGAGATTATTTATAGTAGGAATTGTGAAGACCATGTTTCTGTCAAAGTTTTCACAAAATCTCTACCAAGAGATCATCTGAGCAGTTTAATTCATGACTTTTACACAGTTTTTTTTTTTTTTTAAACCCAAGAGATACAACTAGAAACCTTGTTTTATTGACAGTATTTGGCAGTGGTTCAATGTAACTCAGTAAATTTACTTGCACTTCACTACATTTTAGAGATAATTATTGTACTATTTTTTATTTATTTATTTTTATAACTGCACCTAATTTGTCTCACAGCTTTAGTTAATTTATAAATTTAGATTTTTGGATACAAAACACACAAGAAGATCATATAAAATGCTTTAAAATAAATGAAACTATACAAATAGACCTGAAACTAAAGATCACTTCTCATAAATTTAAATAAAAAAACAAATGATTTAACACATAATCAAATAAAATACTCATTTGTAGTTGTACAACTAAAAAAAATTCACATTAATGAGTAAGTAATAATAATGATACATATATATATAAAAAAATGAATTGACAACTATTATTTTTAACACTTTATTTCCTTGATTATGCTTTTATTGAGTATTTTACTTTAAAGTGTTTTTACTTTTGGAACCGAATACTTCTGCCACCACTGGGATCTGTCTTTTTTTGACACCTTGTGAAAATTAGTTTACAATAATTAAATTAATGACTATATTGACTCATTTTTCAATTATGAAATAAAAATTCTGAACATTTTCAGGCTGTCAGACTAAGCGAGAACACTTTAACGCCATAATTTATACATTTAATGTCACTTTAAATTGAAATTTTGAGATTTTTTTGACTGAATAATAATGCAAAATAACACTTTTATGGACCAAACAACTGCTGTGGTTTTTTAAAATTATAATTACATTGTTGCAGCACAGACAATAAGCTTTCACAAACAATAATAGGGACTGTTTTTTTTTCTTTTTGTGTATAATATTTAGGTAAAAATATATTGAGTTCCTCTTTGAGGAGATGACAGTCCCGTTTTCTGTTTCCAGTCTGCCATCTAGTGGACACCAGGGGAATGTCAGCTTTTTTAAGCTTGAGGCCTGTAATATAAAGTTTACTTTAACAAGTCCTTTAATGTGGTAAATTTCACCTCATCTTTTTTATTAATTTATTTTTTTCACAAAGAAACATGTGGGAGCAAGAACAGGTGAACCTATGATTAACTTAAAGCGATAATCTGAATGGAAAATTGTTTATATAAATTAGATTAATTCACATGAGTAACGGTTTTCCTGTTTAAATGAAGAGAAAAATTGTGTTTTTTTTGTGCAAATGTTACATAAAACATTAAACTTTGTTAAAATTCTGATCTTTTATCAAATGTATTTGTAATATTTGTGTGAATAAAATTAAATACTGAGAAATGAAGCTCAGATTTATGCTTTTCTACAAGAATTTAGTTTAGGATTTCTTCTCCTTTCCCCCAAATTAAACATCCTAAATGTCACCTCTACTACCACTAAATCATTATATATATATATATATAAAGAATGACTGACTTGAGAACAGACAGATGTTGGCAGCTTAACTTTGAGTCCACAAAAAGCAGATAAATGTAAAAGCAGTGGATGCGACGTGTCCGACAGCTGTAGGAAAACGTCCTCCTGTTTGTTGCACATTAGCCATGAGAGGTCGAGGTGTCACAGCCCCTCAGACAGAGACAAATGCCGCCCCGCCTGGTTTAGCATTCAGCCGCATGTGTTGTCGGTCCATCAGAGGCTAATTAACATAGCAGGATCCCCAGTGATCCCACACTGCTCTTCTGTCTATACACAGCTCCTGTTACACTTTACGGCCGGCACAGCGGGGCACTTCCAACAAGATGCTGTTGTTTCAATCAAGCCCAAAAGTAAACTGGACGCTGTGTGAGAAAGTGTCTGTGTTTCTCAGGTTGTATCCATTAAAAAGCATCGACCTATTATCAGTTAAAGCTTCTGTACGGATCAGTTTCCACAGATTTGACCCCAAATAAATCCTGAGAGTTAAATACAGACTTTCAGAAATACATACTCTGAGATATTTTAGTGTTTTTAGCTGAACACTGAACATAACTTTCATGCAAAACACTTGTTTCATATGCTGCGTATAATTAGATTTAATTTCTTTGTGCATGTCTGTGTCATGTTGGATTGAATCCTCATCTTTTATCTTGTGTGTAGAATATTTAATATATAACAATAAAACAAAAACGATGTAGAATGATGAATTAAAACATCAATAAAATGAAGTTGTGCATATAAAAATGAGGAAACACTGCTATAAGATCACTAAAAATCACAGTTATCACAGGCCAAAGAGCCCCAAAATGTGCTCTGAGGATTTCCCGACTATTTCTTGCTGCCCTCATATCAGCTACTTCTAGGTTTATGTTCAACATATAAATTAAAGAGAATTTCTGAGCTTCTTTTTTTTTTTAGGTAAAACAACATTTAAAGAGTCTTTTCTTTACAGAATCCTCCATAATATCCTCAAAGGGAACAAACATGATGAGTGTAATTCTGATAGCGACTTCAGGACCTTCCCTAAAAAACATGTGGAAGTCTTTCACAAGACTTTACGGGCCGGCAACACCTGGAATGCCTGAAATCCATTCCAGGATCCCAGAAAACTCCTTAAACATCCTCCAACCTCAGCAGTGACTGTGGAACCTGTTCAAGGATTCCTGGAAACAACTGAAGGACCCTGAAACATTTCTTAAGGACTCTTCAAACTCCTGAGTAATATCTGGAATCTGTTCTTAAATCCCCAGACAAAAA